GAAGTACACGCTTTTACATGCTCCGCCCAGGAATCGAACCCGGGTCACAAGAATCTAGGGAATCTAGCGTGAAACCACAACGCCAGGAGCAGCATGTGTGTGTGTGTGTGTGTGTGTCTGTGTGTGTCTGTGTCTGTGTGTGTGTGTGTGTGTCTGTGTGTGTCTGTGTGTGTGTGTGTGTTTTTGTGTGTGTGTTTGTCTGTGTGTCTGTGTGTTTTTGTGTGTCTGTGTGTGTGTGTGTGTGTGTGTGTGTGTCTGTGTGTGTGTGTCTGTGTGTGTGTGTGTGTGTCTGTGTGTGTCTGTGTGTGTGTGTGTCTGTGTGTGTGTGTGTGTGTTTTTGTGTGTCTGTGTGTGTGTCTGTGTGTGTGTGTGTCTGTGTGTGTGTGTGTGTGTTTTTGTGTGTCTGTGTGTGTGTCTGTGTGTGTGTGTGTCTGTGTGTGTCTGTGTCTGTGTCTGTGTGTGTGTCTGTGTGTGTGTGTGTGTGTTTTTGTGTGTCTGTGTGTGTGTCTGTGTGTGTCTGTGTGTGTCTGTGTCTGTGTGTGTGTGTGTGTGTTTTTGTGTGTCTGTGTGTTTTTGTGTGTCTGTGTGTGTGTGTGTGTGTGTCTGTGTGTGTGTGTTTGTGTATGTGTGTGTCTGTGTGTGTGTTTGTGTGTCTGTGTGTGTGTGTGTTTGTGTGTGTGTGTGTCTGTGTGTGTTTGTGTGTCTGTGTGTGTTTGTGTGTCTGTGTTTGTGTGTGTGTGTGTCTGTGTGTGTCTGTGTGTGTCTGTGTGTGTGTCTGAAGTTCCCCGGAGGTTTCCGTCGGAGCGGCGGCGCCGATGTCAGCTGGCCAGTGGTCACACGGTTCAGTCGTAACAGATCGCCGTCATGGATGGTTCTGTCTGGGCTCTGACACGCTCAGCCCCGCCCCCTCTCTGTGTGTCCGTACACGGACCTGAGCCTGGCGGCGGCTCTTTGAAACCTCGCCGTTTTAAATCCACGAGATGATGGTGGTTTGTTGGAGTGATACCTGCTGACTCTGAGCGCTAACACAGCTTCATCCTCCTCCTCCTCCTCCTCCTGGATGTTCAGGTGCTTCACAGTCTCAATTTCACACGAGCCAAACTCGATTTACTTCCAGTCCGCTGAGTTTCTTTCTGCTCGCCGCCCTGATTTCTATTCTGCTTCAATTAGCAACAGATGCCGCCGCGCTCGCTCGGCGCTAACCCTAATCGTACGTGATGAGCAAAGCTAATCGTCTGCTGCTGCCTGACCTTCCTACAGCTGGGAGGAGGTTTCTCTCTCTCTCTCTCTCACACACACACACACACACACACACACACACACACACACTCAGTATTTGAGGGTACTTGAGGGGGCGGGGTTGAGGGCGGGCTCTGCTGACCGCAGTAATCGCTGGCGCTGCTCGTCAGTTTTCAGGCCCGGTTGGTGCAGCAGAGAGTTTGTTTGTTTTGGTGTCAGGGCAGGTTAGAGTCAAAACCAGGACCTCCAGAACACATGTGGACCCCAGAGCTAAACGGCCTCAGATAGCCCCGCCTCACCCACTCTGCCTCACCCACTCTGCCTCACCCACTCCCCAGTTTGACCCAGAGGGAGGCAGAGAGAGAGGAGGTTGATTTCAGCCTCACACGTCAGTCGACAGACTCTTTATTTTGTGTTTTATAAACAAACATCTTCTAATATCAGTCAATAGTTATTAGTTATTGATTATTTGGTAATATATCGATATCTCTGTGTTCTCTTCTGTCTGTGTCGTCAACATTTGAACATTTTTGAGCGGTCCGCTCTTTCTGACTGTAAACAAAGCCGTTCTCCACCTCCTCTAACCTGATTGGTTGTGAGGCAGACGCTGCTCCCCCGTGTCGTTCAGGAGTTGTTCTGGACTTCCTGTCCAGCCCAGCTGCAGACCCCCAAAAGGTCTCTGGCTGTTTCAGGCCCCCGATGTTCCCATTCTGGTCACAACGCCCTAGACTGGCCACCCCAGTCCAAACACTCTGGCTCCGCCCCTGTAACGCAGGTAGATTTGCTGGTGGTCTTGTTTGGGTTTGGGGGTCATGAGAAGACTTCAGGACCAGTTTGACAAATTTGATCCAGTAGATCCAGATCACAGGTCCTACAGAGTCAGCTGGTGTTCAGACTGGACCTGCTCCTCAGATCCTGGACTGGTGCCTGTGGTCAGGATTAGAGCTCACAGCTCTGAGCAGCAGAGAGTGGAGATGGTTCAGTCCAAACTGAGAAGGTTCTGATGGTTCAGTCCAAACTGAGGTGGTTCTGATGGTTCAGTCCAAACTGAGGTGGTTCTGATGGTTCAGTCCAAACTGAGGTAGTTCTGATGGTTCAGTCCAAACTGAGGTGGTTCTGATGGTGGGTCTGACCTCTGTGAACTCTGACACATTATTGAGTCAGTGTTCGTCTGTGACTTTACTGGAGGAGTGTCTGTGCTGGTCCAGGTCTTGTGTCTGTGATGGTCCAGGTCTTGTGTCTGTGTCTGTGCTGGTCCAGGTCTTGTGTCTGTGCTGGTCCAGGTGTCTGTGTCTGTGCTGGTCCAGGTCTTGTGTCTGTGCTGGTCCAGGTCTTGTGTCTGTGCTGGTCCAGGTGTCTGTGTCTGTGCTGGTCCAGGTGTTGTGTCTGTGATGGTCCAGGTCTTGTGTCTGTGTCTGTGCTGGTCCAGGTGTCTGTGTCTGTGCTGGTCCAGGTCTTGTGTCTGTGCTGGTCCAGGTCTTGTGTCTGTGTCTGTGCTGGTCCAGGTCTTGTGTCTGTGCTGGTCCAGGTCTTGTGTCTGTGCTGGTCCAGGTCTTGTTTCTGTGCTGGTCCAGGTGTCTGTGTCTGTGCTGGTCCAGGTCTTGTGTCTGTGCTGGTCCAGGTCTTGTGTCAGTGCTGGTCCAGGTCTTGTGTCTGTGTCTGTGCTGGTCCAGGTGTCTGTGCTGGTCCAGGTGTCTGTGTCTGTGCTGGTCCAGGTCTTGTGTCTGTGATGGTCCAGGTCTTGTGTCTGTGCTGGTCCAGGTGTCTGTGGGTCTTTGTTCCGTGGTCAGTGCAGATCTGTGAAGTTGTTCTTCTGCTCGAACTCTTGAAGGTTCCTGGTTCACGGTTCAGGACCTGGTTTTCCTCTAACTCTCACTCCTCACAGATTCTTGTCGAGCGTTGAAGCGGTTAACTCCTCGGACCCTCGGACCCTCGGGCCCGCTGCAGAGTTTACAGGAGTGTGTGAGGCGGAGGATGAGAGCTCGTAGACCACCAGGCAGAGGAGTGTGAGCCTCTCTGAAAAGTCCAATTTCTCTTATTTACCAAAGACAATGACTTACAGATGATTCTGCTCCCCTCAAAAATGTGCAAGTTAGCAAACAACCAAACAAGCATAAATCAGAGGAGTGAGGTCTGCAGCTGTGGAGACGAAGCTTCAGCAGCTTCAGTGAGATAAGAACTCATAAACACAGACACACAAACCTGGACTGAACTACAAAGAGCAATTAGTGCGGCGGGCTGATAATTGAGACTCATATTTAGATTAATGAGACACTTGAGGATCTGAAAATAAACATCCGATTCAAACCGACGTGAATCAAAGACGACAGTAAATTACCTGAGAGTTAATCCTCCTCTAATCCTCTTCAGCTCCTCGGAAATACAAACCAAGAATCGATGGAGGAAGATCTGCAGACACTGGATTAAAGCTGCTGATTGAAAAAAGGAGAAAGACTCACGTTTCCTTTTATTACGAAAAACTCTCTTCTCCTGTTTCTGTCCCAACATCTCAGAGACTCAGTGAGGATCAGGATCAGGAGCTTCAACCTGGAGAGCTTTAAGACCAGACAGAGGCCTTCACACAGACTGATGAGGTCCACACAGAGGTCCTCACTGAGGTCCTCACTGAGGTCCACACAGAGGTCCTCACTGAGGTCCACACTGAGGTCCACACTGAGGTCCTCACTGAGGTTCCTGCTGAGGTCTTCACTGAAGTCCTCACTGAGGTCCTCACTGAGGTCCTCACTGAGGTCCACACAGAGGTCCTCACTGAGGTTCCTGCTGAGGTCTTCACTGAAGTCCTCACTGAGGTCCTCACTGAGGTCCTCACTGAGGTCCACACAGAGGTCCTCACTGAGGTCCTCACTGAGGTCTTCACTGAGGTCTTCACTGAGGTCCTCACTGAGGTCTTCACTGAAGTCCTCACTGAGGTCTTCACTGAGGTCCACACTGAGGTCCACACTGAGGTCTTCACTGAGGTCCACACTGAGGTCCTCACTGAGGTCCTCACTGAAGTCCTCACTGATGTCCTCACTGAGGTCCTCACTGAGGTCCTCACTGAAGAACTTGAAGAACTTTGTCTTTGGTTTTAAAACCTAAAGTCGCTCCACGTGAAGAACGCCACACGGCGATTTGATGAAGTCTGCTTCGATTAGTCGTGTCTGAAAGCGTCTGCTGTGATGATCCAACTTTCAGAAATTCAGAAACCAGCTGATGTCTCAGAGGTCAAAGGTCGTGGTCAAAGTTAACAGATTTTGTTGGTCAGAGACTGAGATGTTTGTAGCTGAACAGATTTCCAGCCTGTGATGGGGTCAGCGAAGCCTGGACCTGGACCTGGACCTGGACCTGGACCTGTGACTGTCCTGCAGCACGTCTTTGTGTATCAGGCAGTAACTCGGCGGTTAGACGCAGATTTCACGCCAACTCGAGTACTTTCAGGGTTTGTCATCTACTGTTGCCGTTGGCATGGTGACTGAGTTCAACAAAACAGATTTTTCCTCTTCCCTGTGAGTCGCAGTCGTTTGGAGGAGAACAGTGAGAGCCGATTTATTTGGGGTTTGGAGCTGTTGGCACGACAGCGACATCAAAGCGTGACAATAAAGCTGAACGATGATTTCTGGCGAAGGCGCCGCCAAACACCAAAGAAACAAATGTTTCTGAGTGAAGCTGCTGCCAAACACCACAAAAACAAGAATCCTGAGGAAATGTGGACTTCATTTATCACTTTAAACAAGTGAGTACCACCCACGTGACGAATGTTTGACTCCAGTTACTCATGATTCTGTTGGAGGGTTCTGGGTCTGAGAGCTGGGCGCGGCCTCGCAGGAGACGCTTTTTATAGATGTCATCTGACGTCTGATGACCACATGCAGTGAGTAACGATGAAGAGGAGGGCCTGGATGATCTTCGTCTGCTGTGTTTGTCCTTCTGACTTTAACACTGGGGGGTCAGACGGGACTGGGACAGGCTCTGACTGAAGCTAACATGCTAAAGCTAGTCTGTGGAGCTAAATGAGGCTCATGCAGAAACTGTTCAAGACCGCATCCTCTGACCACCACAGTTAGACACCAAGTTGACCACCGCTGGTTAGGACCTCAACCAACATGGCCGCAGCAGATTCCTGGTGGTCATAGTTTCCGTTTTCCGCTGGACTCTGCAGCGAAAAGATTTTTCTGTTTAGAGAAGAGGATGATGAGGGCAGCAGACGACGGCCCTGCTCAACAAATCAGTGCAGAAAAACCCAAACCACGTCGAGCTGAAGTTTGTTCAGGATTGTCAAATGTTGGCATCAATAATGTTTCTGTGAACGAGGTCGTCACGAGCAGCCAGAGCGCTGGAAACAACAATCCTGCTCCTGGTTTCCCTCAAAAACCTCCTCCTGCTGGCAGATGGCTATCAGACATGTGCATCGCATGTCTGTGCAGAAGGAGGCAGGGTGGTAATATTGTTGATACGGTCGGGGCCCCAAACATGTGCTGATGATATCATTATCTAGTTGTAACCCTGATCAGCTCCATGTGTTTGTGGGAAAGCTGCGAGCAGCAAAACAGAGAGCGACGGCGAAGGTTCGGGTTCGAGGTTTACCAGAGAGTCAGGATTTCCAGGACGGAGTTGGAGCTGTGAGGAGTAAAAGTGAGGTTTGAGCCGAGCTTCAGGGCCGTCAGGAACTTTTCAAAGTGTTACTTTTCATAAATCTGCATCAATCTTCTGTTTCCGTCTGTCTCATAATCTCTCAAATAAAGATCAGGACTTTTTCAGGCTCAAACTCTTTGGTGGGGCCCTCCAACCCCTACAGCTGAGATGAAATCTTCAACTACCTGTTCTTTCTCAGCAGGCGTCTGTCTGACGTGAGTCTGGTCCTGCTCGAGGTTTCTGCCTGATAGAGGGGAGTTTTTTCCTCGCCACAGTCACTCATGTTGGGGGCGGGGTCTAATCTGTCCCGTCTTCAGGTTTGGGTCTTTGAAACACGTCAAACACTGAGTTTGGTCTCGACCTGCTCCTTTGGAGAGCGTTAACGATTGTCGTGATTTGACGCTTTACAAATAAAAATTAACGGATTAAATTTAAAGTGAATGAACTCAAATCTGTGACTTTTAAACAGCCGGTGAAAAAATTCAATGATTCACTAAAAGTGAAAACATGAATCTCAGTTTCATCAGTTTATTCCTTTTCAAAAAGGTTTTTGACTTTTTCTTCTTTTTCCAACATCAACATTTAAAATTGAAGCTTCTCAGAAAAGACAGAAAGTGCAAAAACATTTACGTTTATTTTATTTTATGAACATGGAAAAAAGCCCCTGTGTGTGTGTGTGTGTGTGTGTGTGTGTGTGTGTGTGTGTGTGTGTGTGTGTGTGTGTCTGATATAATGGATCAGAACCGCTGCAGCTCGTGTTTCTCTCGGACTCTCGGACCTGTTGTGTAATAGCTGCTGGTGCGCTGCTGCTTTATGCTGATTGGTGCATTGTTTTGGGAGCAGCGCGGCGCCGTGAGTCGCTCATAAACGCTGTGTTAAATATTAACCACCAAAGAGCTGCTGATGTGATTCACAGGGTTTCATAACTCTAATTAATACAAACTCTAACGATGGTCATATGTGGAGGACAGCCTCAAACAGCCTTTATATCAGTCACCACCACTGTGTCCTCCTCCTCCTCCTCCTGCTCCTCCTCCTCATCCTTCTTCTTCTTCTTCTTCGTCTGTTTCACTCCATGCTCCCTCCAGTCATCCATCTTCCTTCCTGTGCGGGAAACTCACTGTTGCCGTGGAGATGGAGCAGAAAAACATCTCACAGCAGAAACCGATGAGACCTTTAAACCGTCTGTGTGACTTCATGAGAGTCAGGCTCTTCTCCTTCTGTTTCTTCTCCTCATCCTTCAAAATAAAAGCCCGGGCGTGCCGTTTGATGTTCTCAGAGCCGTCTGAAGGTACGAGCAGCAGCAGGTTCTTGTTCATGTTCTTCAGGAGCCTCAGTCCTCAGACGTTACTCCAGATTCTAGTCCTCTTATTCAGGATCTTAGAAACCTGCAGCGATAATCTGGAACCAGTTTGTTTGTAATTCTGAATCTTAATCTGAGGCTGAACATGAACAAACCTCTCATGATGTTTCTCTAATAGTGGCGTTGAGCGGCGGTGGAACCCGTGCTCTAAAAACGTCAGTCACTCTGAGGAGGTTAACCCGGCGTGATCAGAGCGCTGACGGACTGTTTCACCAACAGAGCGACTGTATCTGATCCCCGCTCAGCGTGTTGTAAGACCGTCCCGTTTCCATCTCGCCTTTTCTGTCACCTCATTAAAAACACAAAGAGGTTGGCGAAGGGGCCGGCCCGGATATCTGCGGTAAAGCTGGCAGTGAATGCGGCGCGTTAATGTGGTTTAATGCTGTTTCCTCTGAAAAGCCACATTAGAGTCAGATTCAGTAATCTGGGTTTGCCCGAGCTCGTCTCTATGATGTCATTATGCTAAACTGACCTTTCCTGCCGGATTAGGAGGAACAGAGCGCCGCGTTGGAGAGGGAATTAGCCGGGAATGAAAAATGGGATATTTGGCGTGTGGATGATGATGAAGTATTCAGACGCATTTTCAACACAAGAGCCATCGACCACGAATCAGAGCAGGGCGACAAAACGCCGCTTTGTGGCCTGAGCAGCTCAGACGAGTTTCTAAACGAAGGTTTCAGGAATTCCTGGTGTCAAAGCTCGTCTTCGTCTCCGTCCTCTTCGTCTCCGTCCTCTTCGTCTCCGTCCTCTTCGTCTCCGTCCTCTTCGTCTCCGTCCTCTTCGTTTCCGTCCTCAGAAATACTGACCTCCGTCCTCTTCATCTCCGTCCTCTTTGTCTCCGTCCTCTTTGTCTCCGTCCTCTTCGTCTCCGTCCTCTTCGTTTCCGTCCTCAGAAACACTGACCTCCGTCCTCTTCATCTCCGTCTTCTTCGTCTCCGTCCTCTCCGTCTCCGTCCTCTTCATCTCCGTCCTCTTCGTCTCCATCCTCTACGTCTCCGTCCTCTTTGTCTCCGTCTTCTTCGTCTCCGTCCTCTTCGTCTCTGTCCTCTTTGTCTCTTTAGTCCTCTTCGTCTCCTTCGGTCGGTTCTCTTACTTCACTTCCACAGCGAAGAACAAACAAACGAACCAAACCGTCCAGACGAGACGTGGTTACCATGGAAACTGCTCTGTGTGGACGCGCCGTCTCATACTTACGCTCAACGTTAACGGCTGAACCGAGAGTTTTGGGTCCAGACCGTGTTTTCCATGGACCAGAATCTGAGTAAGAACTGGACCTCTAAAATAGAAACTGGATCACAGACTAAGGTGGTACCCCACAGACTGGAGGACAGACCTGACCCCCAATTTTCACCACATCCAGAACGGCGGCGATTATTGCCGTCCGCCAATTCTTACTGGATCGGTTGGTGAGGCGAGTTTCGTGGCGGATTACAGACGGCGGTGATCAGGAGAACTCACAAGAACCTGCAGATTCACGATCAATCGTACGATAACGAGCTGTCTCTCTAAAGACAGACACATAGACATATAAGCAGTAGATTGTGTCCTTCCAGAGGAGGAAATCTACTTCTAGACTTCTAGAATCAGCATCTCCTCATCCATGGTGTCATCGGGGTGAAATGACGTCTAAAAACCTTTCACTTGTTCGTCTCCGCCCGTTCCGTGGGTTCTTGGGAGTTCTCACGATTACAGCCGTCTGTAATCCGCCACAAAACTCAGAAATGGATCCGGTAAGAATTGGTGGACGATGAATGCGGGAGAAACTCGGGGTGACCCTGAACCTCCTCTGAACCGGGTCAGTCCCACAGTTCTTTGTAGGTGGAGGAGCAGCGCTGACGGGACGGTAAGAGATCCTGATCCTGTTTGAGTCCCGGTTTATTCTGAACCTGGATCTTCTCTGTCCGGTTTAAAAGGGGGCCAAGACCTCGGGGGTCCTGTCACAAATGAGGACTGTGGAGGGACTGGTCCCAGAACAGGGGACAGACCTGGAGACAGAGGCAGACCCGGGTCCAGGGAGCAGAGGGACTGACAGTCTGAGGTCCAGGATCGGGCCCCGCTCAGCTCCTCCATCATTAGCCAATGAAGTCTCATAAAAGTGAGTTATGAGCCACGAGAGGGGGGGTTCCATATGGACCAAGTGATCCAGAAAAGCAACGTGTCGCAGAAGACCCCCAGAGCCCAACAAGTCAGCCTTTAAACCCCCCCCCCCCCCCCCTCATTAATTGATTTTAATAACAGGCGGCGAGGGTTCGCAGAATGCGCTCATTCATCGCCGGCCGGGCTGATGGGGCTTTTCCCGGGTCCCTGAGCGAACACTGCAGCACTTAGAGCTGTTTGTTTGGACGGCCTCCAGTGTGAGTGTGTGTGTGTGTGTGTGTGTGTGACCGGCTCACACACACACACACACACACACACTCACACACACACTCCACCGTGTCCCGGCTGCTCACTCACTCGCTCACTCAAACATTTGTTCATTTACCAGCTCAATAATTTCTTCACTCAATCACTGGCCCACTCATTTATCCACTCATTTATTCATCCAGCCTCTGCACTCAGAGAGGGCGACCACGCTTCGGAGCAAAGGCTCATGGGAACTATGGCCGACAGTGTCTGAAAACAGGTCACACAGAGACTCGGTGACGTGGTTCTCCTCCTCCTCCTGAAAATCCTGGTTCTGTGTTTTTTTACTGAGTGTGAGTGAAGCTGGAGGAGGGCGGGGGGGAGGAGGAGGACGGGGGAGGAGGGGGGGGGGGGGACAGGGGGGGGGGTCGGCCTGTCAGAGCAGAATAATACACTCATTCCTCCAGAGCAGCAGAATCACAGCTGATGGAAATGGGATTTTGGAAGATCTATGGAACATAATTATAATAAACATAATAAACATATATGCAGAGGCTGCTGTGATCGTTCAGGTGGGAGGGGCTTATTTCTGCTGCTGTCACTCTGTGTGTGTGTGTGTGTGTGTGTGTCCTGCTCCTTTGAACATGTATGTTGTGCTCTCATGAATGTGTAGTAGGGCTGCCCGATATATCGTTTGAGCATCGTCATGGCGATGTACGTGTGCACGATAGTCACATGACAGAACCTGCGATGTTGGAGGTGAATGAACTGACTGAGATAAACTGTATGTGACTCTGCAGCGATCCACCAATCACATTCGCTCTTTACTCAGTAGCCAATCAGACTACCCTGTCAGCTGTCAATCAAAATCAGAGAGGATGAAACCACGCCCCTGCACATGGAGTGCGTCCACTGAGAATGACGTTGGGAACATTCCTCATCTCTGTTTATCCCAATAAATCAGAACTCTACGGGTTTAAATCGTACATTTGGACCAATCGACTATCAGCGTTTCTGAGAGGTGGATGAGATTCTCGGCACAACATCGTTAACAACAACAACGTCAACAACAACGTCAACAACAACGTTAACAACAACAACAACAACGTCAACAACAACAACAACGTCAACAACAACAACGTTAACAACAACAACAACGTCAACAACAACAACAACGTCAACAACAACAACAACGTCAACAACAACGTTAACAACAACAACGTTAACAAAAACGTTAACAACAACAACGTCAACAACAACGTTAACAACAACGTCAACAACAACGTCAACAACATTAACAACAACAACGTCAACAACAACAACGTCAACAACAATGTCAACAACAACGTCAACAACAACGTCAACAACAACGTCAACATCGTTAACAACAACATCAACAACAATAACGTTAACAACAACGACGTCAACAACATTAACAACAACGTCAACAACAACGTCAACATCGTTAACAACAACAACATCAACAACAATAACGTTAACAACAACGACGTCAACAACAACGTTAACAACAACGTCAACAACAACGTCAACAACAACATTAACAACAACAACGTCAACAACAACGTTAACAACAACAACGTCAACAACAACGTCAACAACAACAACGTCAACAACAACGTTAACAACAACAACATTAACAACAACAACGTCAACAACAACGTCAACAACAACAACGTCAACAACAACGTTAACAACAACGTCAACAACAACGTTAACAACAACAACGTTAACAACAACAACGTTAACAACAACAACGTTAACAACAACGTCAACAACAACGTCAACAACAACGTCAACAACAACGTTAACAACAACAATGTCAACAACAACGTCAACAACAATGTTAACAACAACAACATCAACAACAACAACGTCAACAACAACAACGTCAACAACAACAACATCAACAACAACAACGTCAACAACAACAACGTCAACAACAACGTTAACAACAACAACGTCAACAACAACAACGTCAACAACATCGTCAACAACAACAACGTCAACAACAACGTCAACAACATCGTTAACAACAACAACGTCAACAACAACAACGTCAACAACATCGTTAACAACAACATCAACAACAACAACGTTAACAACAACAACGTCAACAACAACAACGTCAACAACAACGTCAACAACAACGTCAACATCGTTAACAACAACATCAACAACAATAACGTTAACAACAACGACGTCAACAACAACATTAACAACAACGTCAACAACAACGTAAACAACAACGTCAACAACAACAACGTCAACAACAACGTCAACAACAACGTCAACATCGTTAACAACAACAACATCAACAACAATAACGTTAACAACAACGACGTCAACAACAACGTTAACAACAACGTCAACAACAACATTAACAACAACAACGTCAACAACAACGTTAACAACAACAACGTCAACAACAACGTCAACAACAACGTTAACAACAACAACATTAACAACAACAACGTCAACAACAACGTCAACAACAACAACGTCAACAACAACGTTAACAACGTCAACAACAACGTTAACAACAACAACGTTAACAACAACAACGTTAACAACAACGTCAACAACAACGTCAACAACAACGTTAACAACAACAATGTCAACAACAACGTCAACAACAATGTTAACAACAACAACGTCAACAACAACAACGTCAACAACAACGTTAACAACAACGTCAACAACAACGATCGTAAAATGAAAAACGAACAAAGAAAACCACCGAAGATGAAGACGTGTTTCAGTTCGAAGAAGGATGATGTCGACTAAAACACGTGTTCTGTGTTCATCTGTTTCCACGGTAACGTCCAGAACAATAAAAACTAAGACAGACAGAAGTCAGTCTACTAACATTCTCTAAAGAGGGAAGATCAGAGCAGGTTAACTGTCCTGAAGACTTCAGCAGTAACTCAGATTCAGATCATCTGAGGAGGAAAATTCATCGATTTTTTTATATCGCCATAAAAAATCACAGCAGGTTAAAAAAAGTTGAATGTCAGTTTTTTATTAATATCGTTCAGCCGTGATGAGGAGGCGTGTTCTGGTCCTCCTCTCCTTCCACTGGGTTTGACCCTGTGATGATCATCTCTCTGAAGGTCATGGTCGGACTCTCCTGAAAAAGGAGGTCCTGCTGAGTCGTTCCTGCAGTCCAACTGTCTGAAGAGTTTTCTCAGACCCAACGACCCTCTGAGGAACCGGATCCCCACGCTGGAGAAGAGACACTCAGAGTGAGAGAGAAGAGGTTTGGGTGATTCTGGTCCAGGGTCCTTCATAGACCGTCTCTGTTGGTGAAGTGAGTCTGCAGCAGGACAACACCAGGAGGGATGGATGAGTTCCAGCGTGGAGGACCGAGGGCCAGGGGCCTCTGCAGGAGGTTTTCTTTGGAAAGCACCTGGGTGTTAAAAAAGGGCCTCTCAGTCTGGCCTGAGAGAGGCTGAGTAAACACCAGATCCAGACGGGCCAGCCTGAGCCGGACTGGACTCCTCCAAACAGAAACCATGAGTCAGCCTCAGGAACCCGTCCACCGTCCTCCTCCAGGGACCATCGGGCTGACGCAGCCAGGAAAATCTCCATGTTGGAGGCTGACGGAGGCTGACGGAGGCTGACTGAGGCTGACGGAGAGTGTGGAGCTTTTATTCTTTCAGGAGAAACTCAAGAAATGTGAAACACGGTTCAGATCAGACCAGAAGACCCTCTTCATGTCCCTGAAGGCACCATGCAGCGACCTCATGGCAAACATGGAGTGAAATGAACAGAAATGAACGCTAAAGCCATAAAAAGAGGAGCGCTGCGTCTCCTCCTGCGTCTCCTCCGTCCTCTGGAAGTCTTTATTGAGGCCCTGAGAGCCTCACTGAGAGCCAGACTTCCCCTCATCTCCGGTCTGCGTGAGTGGAGAGCAGGGCCTCTCACTCCAGCGAGGAATATTTATCTTTCCAGCTGGTTAGATGGATTAAATGACCATCTCGCCGCCGCCGCTGCAGAGGGAGAGAGGGAGAGTCTGAGACGGAGAGAGAGGTGAGGGGATGGAGAAAGTTTTCAGAGGAAATGAGAGAAAAAAGAGAGAGAGAGGAAAAGATGCTCTCTGTCCTCCGAGGAAAATACGAGAGTAAGGAATGACTTAGCAACTCCCATTAACCCCCCGCAGACGCCAAAAATGACTCTGACTCCATCTTCTGTCTTTGGCGGAGGGGGCCACACATGCAAACACACACTCACAGGGAAGTGCACGTGCACATGCACACGCCAAGACACACAGAGCTAATTAACTTCCTGACACATTCACAGAAATTCATTTCAAAGACAGAAGACATATGTTCATGCAAATGTGACGAGGAACCTGAAACGCTCAAATATCGACGCAGATAATGGAAAATATTTAGCAATTACACACTCCTCTTTTTCTCTCTTTCACACCACGACGACGCCTGCTGTCCCCGCCCACATCCTGCAGAGAGGTCAGCTCAAAGTCAGACGTATTAATATTCATTGATACTAATTCACCTTTTTCTGCAGGTGAACCACAGATGATCATCCGCCTCAGTCTGTGTGAAAAACAGACGAAAACGCTCCAACAGGAAGTTCTGCTCCAGTATTTAGAGCGCCGAGCGTTACAACCAATCAGCTGCTGCCGTACGCATGTAAACCGCAAATAAAGGAGGTAATAACATCAGAGAGCTGCCCTCAGAGACGAGTGTGTGTGTGTGTGTGTGTGTGTGTGTGTGTGTGTGTGTGTGTGTGTGTGTGCAGCTGAAGTCATGGAAATTTCCCTCTATAAAAGTGAAGCATGACAATGGATTTGGAGCATCGCGGCCCGCCGGATTACGGGGATCACATAAATCCTCCGCTCCATCATTTTACAGAACCACATCAAGCAGCATGTAAAGGGTTAATAATCCCGCTCCCACCTCCTCCTCCTCCTGCTCCCACCTCCTTCTCCTCCTGCTCCCACCTCCTCCTCCTCCTCCTCCTCCTCCTGCTCTTCTGCAACCAGCAGCAAATCCCAACATTAACATGTGTAACCAGATGTACCGACAGGAGCACACACACACACACACACACACACACACACACACACACACACACACACACACAGCTGCTCTGTGTTCTCAGCTCTGTCATGTCTGTGTGTCTCTGACATCATGGCGGCGGCGGCGGCGGCGGCGTGTTATAACTGTTGGTGTCATAGAGGCCTTAACACCCCCCCCCCTCCGGTGATCGATGAACTCCACGAGGAGCTCCGCCCCTCTACCAACACACTGAACTCTTAGTGTGTGTGTGTGTGTGTGTGTGTGCGCACTCTCTCTCTCTCTCTCTCGCCCTCCTGTAGCTGTTTGCAGAGTCGAGCTCGCCACAAAGAGGAGGCGCGCTCCTCCTTCCTCCTCTATTAGCCGATGGCGGTCGGTGGCGGCGAGGATCATATATAAGCCAATAGGATTAGGAGGCGACAAAGCATCAGGCTGCAGAATCCCCCCCAGCTTTGGTCCAACCGAGGCCTTCGCCGCTCTGTGGCGGCCGCTCTGATCAGTGGCGTGTTCATGCAGCTGTCATCCTGAACATGGCCGCCTCCATCCTCTCTCATATTTCCCCTCCTGATGGCGGAGGTCAAAGGTCATCCTTCACAGGAAACCTAATTCTGTGTTTGACAGTGAGGACTTCAGGACTTAGTCGACCCGCTTCAGCTCAGAGGATCTCCTCTGTTTCATATCCCAGCGGCGGCGGCGGCGGCGTCCTGTTCCTGATGGCGGCCTAACAGTAAATCTGTGTGATTAATCAAAACATCATCAAAATAATCATCGTTGTCGTTTTCTTCATCCGGGTACGGGTCACGGGGTCAGCAGCTTCAGGAGGGGAGCCCAGACGGTCCTCACCCTGGACACTCCCTCCACCTCCTCCTCCTCCGGGGGGATTCCCAGGCGCTCCCAGACCAGGAGAGAGATATAATCCCTCCACCTGGTCCTGGGTCGACCACGAGGTCTCCTCCCGGTGGGACATGTCTGGAACACCTCTAACGGGAGGCGTCCAGAAGGCGTCCTAACCAGATGCCACCTCAGCTGACTCCTCTGGACGTGGAGGAGCAGCGGTTCTCCTCTGAGCTCCTCCCGAGTGTCCGAGCTCCTTACCCTATCTCTAAGGCTGAGCCCGGACACCCTGAGGAGGAAACCCATTTCAGCCGCTTGTATCTGCGATCTTGTTCTTTCGGTCATTACCCAAAGTTCATGACCATAGGTGAGGATCGGCACGTAGATCGACCGGTAAATCCAGAGTCTCTCCTCACGGCTCAGCTCTTTCTTCACCACCACTGATCGGTTAAACGTCCGCATCACTGCTGACGCCGCTCTGATCCGCCTGTCGATCTCCCGCTCCATCCTACCCTCACTCCTGAACAAGATCCTGAGATACTTGAACTCCTCCTCCTGAGGCAGGACCGCCCCTCTGACCTGGAGAAGGTGATCTACCTTTCTCTGACTGAGGACCATGACCTCGGACTTGGAGGTTCTGATTCACATCCCAGCCACTTCACAGTCGTCCGTGAACCGCCCCAGCAAGAGCTGAAGGTCACTGCTCCACGAAGACAGAAGAACCACATCATCTGCAAAAAGCAGCGACGCAATCCTGCAGAACTGGACCCCCTCCACCCCCCGACTGCTCCTCGAAATTCTGTCCATAAAGGTTCTGAACAGAACCGGAGACAAAGGGCATGATCAATAATAATCAATAATAATCAATAATAATCAGTGATAATCAATAATAATCAATAATAATCAATAATAATCACCTCCTTTATATTCATGTGCGCCTCCATCAGTCACAGAAAACGCCACAACGAAGCAGCTGCAGACTCCACCTTTAATCCCAGCGCTGTCTCCTCCTTCTCCTCCAGGTCCTCCTCCTTCTCCTTCTCCTCCTTCTTCTCCTCCTCCTGTCTGATGGCGCTCCCTCTGACCTCTACCCCGTGTTCGTTTCCTGTTTGTGTGTCTGTGTCCTCGGACAGGTGAGGCTCAGGTGGAGGAGCGTCTGTAAGGTGGAGACGGATGGAGCAGCTGTTTTAAAAACCTCCGTCAGAGACACGGATATTCTCCTCCTCCTCCTCCTCCTCCTCCGTTTTCAGGCGTAGATTTTCTCCTCCTCCTCCTCCTCCTCCTCCTCCTCTGTTTTCAGGCGTAGATTTTCTCCTCCTCGTCACCCGCTGTTCGTTCGGCTGAGGGAGTGGGAGTATGAAAAGCGGAGCTGACAGATTTGATAATTGTTACAGAATCTGAATTCAGGAGCTCACTGATGTGTTTTTTTTTCTGAGGGACACTTTAAAAAGCTGTCAAACCTCCAACCACAGGCATTTCCCTCCCCCATCCTCCCCCATCCTCCCCCCTCTCCCCCTCGTTTCCTCGCTCTTTTTTGTGATATCCTCTCATTTCGCCCGTGCCTCGGCGAATTTGTCGCGGCGCGTGGGCCCGTTTGATTTCATTAAACAGAATATTTAAGCATAAAAATTGTTTAATCGTCTGGTGTCATTAGGAGATGGATTTCATTTTCATACATTTGCATATTTCAGATTAAAGACGAAGGCGAATATGCAAATGAGGAGGCCCAGGTTATGGCGGAGGTGTTTATTGTCATCACTTCAGGCAGTTCCACGCTGCGGCGCCTCTGCAGAACGCGGGTGACGGCAACATCTGGACGCCTGGGGGCTGGGAGGGGGGAGAGGGTGAGGCAGAAGGTGGAGGTGTGGAGATGGAGGTCTGTGATTGGCTGCTCCGTTTCAACACTGATTCAGGGCGCAGCGCCGAAAAAACCAAGGAGTCTCATCATGAGAGCGCTTTGATCACACACTCCTGTCCTCCACCCTCCAACCTCCACCCATCATCCTCCACCCATCATCCCCTCATCCTCCACCCTTCATCCTAAATCCCTTCATCCTCCAACCTCCATCCACCCTCCTCTATCATCCCTCCACCCTTCATCCTTTCACCCTCCTCCCTCCACCCCCATTCTACCCTGAAATCTACAGTAAGCAGATGAAGACATAAAGGCAGTGGCGGTGGCGGTGGCGGTGGCGGTGGCGGTGGCGTTGCTCTCTCAGCTGTTTCCTCTGCATGTGTTTTGATCAGCTGTTCTGCTTCTATTGTCCACACGGATAAGCAGCGCCGCTAATGAGGCAGTAATTAGCAGCATCTAAACGCTTCTTCTCCACCCGCGCCGCCGCCGCCGCCGCTGCAGCTCCTCATTTTTCTCGGTGATTTTCTCCTGCTGCAGTTTCAGGCGTCAGAGCAGAACCTGCTCCGGCGGAGTAAAGGTCGAGGAGGGCGCCGCCTTAAAACGAGCGGCTGAAACTTTAACGGAGTGAAAATGTGGGTCTGGGTGTAACCGGGTTTTATTTCCAATCAGAGGATCACAGCGAGGAGGATCAGGAGCAGGAGAACCTGCTGAGCTCCTAATCAGGTAAACAGTTCCCCCATCGATCAGATCATTATCTCTCTGAGCGCCATCACCACAGCAGAGGGGGGGGGGGGGGGCGTTATTACAACAAAGACGGTCTGTATATTTATATATATCTGATCTGTAAACAAATAAAACCTGAGGAGAAGGAAGAGGAGCGCTGTGAGGAACTGAAGTTCAAAATGATCTTCAAACTCCTGAGGAGGACGAAGAGATGAACCCGAGCCCCCTCCAGACTTCAGCAGATACAAAGGTTTAATAAAGTGACCAAAGAAACCATCATATCAATATCAATATCAATATCAATATCAATATATATAATATCAATATGGAGTTTTTCAGCAGACACATTCATCTATATATGAGGTAAACCGTCAGTGAGAGAGTTTATAAATCCAATAATTCAACAAAGAGAGAAGTCGAAGAAACAGGACGATTGTGTTTCTGTGAGCAGATACTGAAACATCTGAACACCTGTGAGATAACAGAGAGGGGTCCGTTAGAAGACCCTGAAGAACCCCCACCTCAGTATGTTTCTATCTGAGCAGGATCTCCTGCTGCAGGTCCATCAGCAGCAGGTTGGTGGTCTGCAGCAGGTTGGGGGTCTGCAGACAGCTCTGGTCCAGCAGGTCTGGGTGAGGGTGCAGGTCTGTGTAGTGACTGTGCAGAGCCAGAGGCCCGCTGACACGCGGCCCCCGGTGGCAGGGCCGGGGTAATAAATCACGGTCTGTAGTGGCCGTCAGATGAACGCCGCCGCTCTGAAGCTGATTGGAGGAGAAACTGTGGTGACGAGTGTGTGATGGTGAGGAGGGGCCGACGACCTCCGGGAGGAGGGGTCAGCCTTCAGCAGAGGCGGAGCCAAACAGATCGCTGCGTCTTAATTTACCCTGAAAAGACATTACACACACACACACACACACACACACACACACACAGACACACACAGACACACACACACACACACACACACACACACACACACACACACACACACACACAGACACACACACACACACACACCCTCTCCTCCTGCAGCTCTCAGTCCGTCTGTAGAACCTCCACAGACCCAAGAATGAGCTCACCTGTCAGACAGAAATCAGGGCTGTCTGTGTGTCTGTCTGTGTGTCTGTGTGTGTCTGTCTGTCTGTCTGTCTTCTTTCTGTGATGATGAGTTTATCACCGTTACTGTCTGGTTCTGGTTCTGGTTCTGGTTCTGGTCGGACCAACATTATTATTAGTATTCTCTGATTCATTAAACAGAGTTATATCTGACTGTTGACTGACTACTTAACCCTCTACAAATACTTGATTCTGATTGGTCAAAAGCTCTCCAGGACAGTTTTTCTTAAAATGACGTTTGTCGTTGTTTGTGATCGTCGTGGCAGAAACAGGATGTTGGAGAAATCATGGAAATTATTGTGATGATGAAATAATAATGTAATAAAATGATAAAAAGCTATAAAATAAGATGATAAAAAAATTTAAAAATGAAATAGTTAAATAATAGTATGATAAGATAATGAAAAGGTTTAATTAAAAAAATATAAAACGATACGAATTATAAAATAAAATAAAAATAGAGTAATAAAATGGTAAAAATAATGAATAGGTAAAATAAAAAAATGGTAAAATGATTTTGAAAAATGACAAAACAAATAAGTTTAAAAAATAAATTTATAAAAGAATGATGAATTAATAAAATGATAAAAAGGTAAAATGATTAAAAAAAATTGGTAGAATGATAAAATAATTTAAAAATAATAGAACAGTAAAATGATGAAAAGGGACACCTATAAAATGGTAAAATTATAAGAAGATAAAAGTTAAAATAATAAAATAGTAAAATGAAAAAAAGGAGAATGATAAAATAACAAAAAGATTAAAAAATTTAAAATTTAAAAATTAAAATAAAATGATCAAATTAGAAAATAAAATGGTAGAATGATAAAATAATTAAGTTTTAAAATAATAGAACAATAAAATGATTTGATAATAAAATAATTGTTATCACTAATAATAATAATAATTAATAATAATAATTATTATTTTTATTACTGTCTGTGTACAGCGACTTGTTAAAGCGTCACTCGGCCGTCTCTCTCTCTCTCCTCAGTAATGTCTGTCATTGACTCTCTATCAGCCCCCCCCCCACCCCTCTAACTCCTCCTGGTTCTCCTCCTCCCCCGTCTTACTCCTTCTCCTGGCCTTTCCCTTCTATTCCCCGTCTCATGATTAGATAGCACTGGTGTTTGTGCACTGGTTCCCAGTGGACAATCAAGCTGTGAGGGTGGACGATGGAGGGGGGAGAGGGGTGAGGAGGAGGGGGGAGGTGAAGGGTTCCATTTTCTATTAGAACAAAACACGCCTGTGGGGCCAGCAGGCATCAACTGGAAATGCAATCTGGGCCTTTGAGCTGACACCCGGGTGGGTGGAGGTGGTGCTGTTGTGTGGAGGTCCTCCACTCTGAATGTTATCGTCCTCAGGAGATCCAGATGGCCTCCCCCAGCACTCACCCTCTTTTAAACCTGGACACCTTTGGGAGAGAAGACGGTCCCCGCGGCCCTCGATGAGGAGGGCTAATTCTGAGCGCGACGCCCTCCAGCCTCTCCTCCGCGTCTCCTGCAGCCTCTCCTCCGCGTCTCCTGCAGCCTCCTGCAACGTTCAGGAGAGTTTATCAATAAGGGTGGACTGCTGATGTCAAATTTCTGTATTTATACGTGTGTGTTATCAGATAGGGGTGTCACTCTCTGCTGCAGAGGAGATAAGTGAGAGGAGACGTGGAGGGAGAGGAGAGAGAGGGAGAGAGAGAGAGAGAGAGAGAGAGAGAGAGAGAGAGAGAGAGAGAGAGAGAGAGAGAGAGAGAGAGAGAGAGAGAGAGAGAGAGAAGGGCAGAAACAGAGAACAGAGAGCTGGGTCGGTCTCTGCAGGGCTGGTGTGAATGCAGATTGGGAGTTCCTGGACATGCATAATTCACCACAGGGGAGATAGGAGAGGAGGTGGGTAGGAAGAAAGGGAATAGGAGGGTGGGTGAGGAGGGGAGGGAGGGAGGGACAGAGGGAGGAAGGAGAAAGAGGAAAATGAGCAGTGCGTCTCAGGCAGCGTCAGCGTCTACAGTGAGGAGGTAATTAGGGAGCTGTCACTTGTTCCTGTCAGGCACCACTCCCGCTGAAACATCCAGAGAGCGAGCGAGCGAGCGAGCGAGCGAGAGTGTGTGTGTGTGAGTGAGTGTGGGGGAGGGCTGAGCTGTGTGTTACTGAGTGTGTGCATGTGTGCATGTTTGTGAATGCACAGCAGGGCTGCATGTGTATCTAAATTGTGCAGCAGAGAGCGGGAGGGTGCGGTGAGATGTTGAATTCAAATGAGACAGAAAGAGGAGAAGAAAAACAGAATCAAGTCAGAGAGCCGAGGAATCGAAATAATGGACGATAAATATGAGTCCGAAGTCCAGAGAGAGTAGAAGGAGGAGGAGGAGGAGAGGGAGCAGGAGGCCAGGGGACGAGGAGGGAAGGAGACAGGGACGAGGAGGGAAGGAGACAGGGACGAGGAGGGAAGGAGATCAGGATGAGTCTGATAAATGAAGGCTGTGTTCACAAAGAAGTCTGCAGCTATTCCTCACACACACACACACACACACACACTCACACACACACACACACACACACACACACACACACACACACACACACACACACACACACACACACACACACACACACACACACACACACACACACACACACACACACACATGTGCCAAGTCAGGATAAACCTTGGCTCTCTGTCTCAGTGATTTGTTGTGGTAAACATTTTCATATGCATGCATTATTGACACAAGACTCACAGTGATACACTCAGCAGTGTGTGTGTGTGTGTGTGTGTGTGTGTGTGTGTGTGTGTGTGTGTGTGTGTGTGTGTGTGTGTGTTGTCAGCTCTCTGCACGTTGATTTAATCTCAACACAAAATAACAATAGAACAGTGTTTGAACAGACCTCCTGTCATTTCAGTATAAGCAGAAGTGTGTTTGACAGACCCTCCAGGTGCAGAGCATGCTGCAGGTACACACACACACACACACACACACGTGCAGAGTGAGTGGGGGTGTGTGATGCAGGGGTATTTAAAGTTGTGAATGCCTTTATAATCTGCAGCCCTCAGGAGACGCTCGTCTCCATGTGACTGAGTCAGTGTGGGCCTGTCGGAGGAGTTTTCACCGTGACACCGGCACTCATACCACTCGCTGGGTGTTCCAATTAAAACCCACCCCTGCCAGCAGAGCCTGGGCTCTCCAACAATACTCACTGCTCCAACACACACACACACACACACACACACACACACACACGCTGGCCGCTGACAGACCACAAACACAGGCGGCTGACGATGATGGATGGTGTGCATAACCTGGCTGGTGATATAGACTTTGGCTAAACAGCTCGGTCCGTCCCCGGGGGTTTGTCCTCGGGCAGGTGGTGCACTTCCTCCACACAGGTGGTTTCTCAGTGATGTGGAAGATAATTGTCCCACAAAGATTTGTGTGTTTTTTTCAAACACAGACTAAGGAGCGTTTAAAGAGCTGGACTCCAGCAGCAGGATGATGTGTTAAAGTGTCAGAGTTTAGCCTCGGAGCGCGGCGCTGTTTCCTCTCTGCTGATAAACGCCGCTGATTATTACACGAGCCTCTAATTAGTGAGTCGGACGACGCAGAAAAACAAGCTGATGAGACAAAACAAAAACATGGATGCATTTTCCATCGGGCGCGAGAAGACAACAAGATAACAGTTTGTAAGAACTTCCATGCATCGGTTTTCTGACTGGCCCGTTGAGTGTAAACAAGACATATTGTGCATCGATGTCACTGAGATGAGCCGTTCTCCCCGAGCCGGCCCATAAAAGACTCATTAGGACACTTCAGACGTATTTGCACTGCGAGGGGCCGCCATTAAACACATCACAGGGCCTAATAAATGCATTATTTAAAAGCTGTGCTCCAATTACTAATTGATTAGAGCGGAGCGCCTCATCAATAACACAGAGGCGGCCCTTCAAATCCAAATACACATGATTTATACATGAAAGGCTTTAAAAGGGATAACTTCTCTGCTAATCAGACATAAATGTTTTAAACACCCAAATTTTGACTCTGCGTCAGAAAAACCAGGACCTGTCAGTCTGATCTGTGTGTGTGTGTGTGTGTGTGTGTGTGTGTGTGTGTGTGTGTGTGTGTGTGTGTGTGCAGTAACCCTTCAGTCAGACTCAAACTGACTCTGATTTATTTTCCTGAAACTCGAACACACTCGTCCCCGTGTGCTGCTCTCTCTCTCTACATGCTAAGAGCTCCGTCTACACACTGATGCAGTATTTATTATAACACTATTATCTCATCACAGCGCTGCTGCTGCTGCGTTAGTGTTTAGATGAGTACACTTGAACTGAATCCTTTAGTTTGTAGTTTAGAGGCATCAGAGTGATCGGAAACTTTGATGCTTCTGTGAAGTCGGTCAGAAGTGATGAAGGTGAGTCCTGGTTTCTCTCTGTGTATGGACACACACACACACACACACACACACACTCACACACACACGTGTGGACCTGCACATGAATCTAACATGCCAGAGTTTCTCTGATGAGCTAAAAAAAGCTGCTCCTCTTCCTGTTCTCATCAAACACTTCTGCTGCTCTGTCTTTGAGCACAATGTGTTATAAATAAAATTAAACTCTCTCTGCACACCCCCACACTGCTCCTCCATTTTTATCATACTATACTATGATATTTTATAATACTATACTATCATATATTTATCATACTATACTATGATATTTTATAATACTATACTATCATATATTTATCATACTATAATAAGATATTTTTGTCACACTATACGATGACATTTTTACCGTACTATGCTGTGATATTTTTATCATACTATACTATGATAATTTTTATCATTCTATACTATGACCTTTTTTAACATCCTATACTTTGACATTTTTATGATACAATACTACAGTGTTTTATTTCTCCTCCCTGATTTTTTTTTAAAGTAAACCTGGCAGGGATTGAAAACCCAGGACCTTACAGTGCAGCAGTGCCGCACATTACACCACTGTGTTCGTGTCACAGTATATCTTTTTATGTCATACTAAACTATGACATTTATTATACTGTAATCTGATCTTTTTAACATTCTACACTATCACACTTTTAACATTCTATACTATGACATTTTCTTCCATACTAAAATGTGAAATTTTTATCTTACGACACTGTGATATTTTTATGTACTATACAATGAGATGTTTATCACACAATAATAGGATGTTTGTTTTTCACACTTTATTTTTATCATACGATACCTGACGTACGATACCTGGATTCAAACCGAGGACCTTCTTGCTGTGAGCCTACAATAGAAAACTACAGTACCTGACATTTTTTTAAACACTATACTTTAACATTTTTGTCATACTAAAGATTTTAAATTTCTTTCATGGAAAACTATGACATTTATCACATACAATAAATTTTTTAATTTTAAAATGTGAAATTTTAATCATACTATAGTATGACATTTCATCATACATTACTATGACATTTTTATTTGAAATTTGAAATTGTTATCACACTATTCTGACATTTCTAACATACTTTACAAAGAAATTTCGAAGTTTTTATCAAACTTTACTATGACCTTTTTTTCAAACTATATTGTGACATTTTTTTCATACTAAAACTTATGTCATTTTTATCATACTATACCTGACATTTGTGGACATACTGGACTTTGACATTTTTTCATACCAAAATTTATATATTTTTAATGTACTATACTATGAAATTTTTGTGTCATTACATTTTTTCTACTATGACCAAAAATTTTTAATTTCTTTCATGATATACTGATATTTCTAATATTTTATCGTATGAAATTTTTTAATTTGAAAATGTGAAATTTTGATTATACTATACTATGACATTTTTATAATACTATAGTATCCCTTTTTAACATACTATACTGACATTTTTTTTAAATCAAACTATACGTTGACATTTTTATCATACTATTCTGTGACAAAACACTAAACTATTATATATTTTTTAAACTGAAACTTAAGACTTTTTATTTTACACTATCACATTTTTGCATGCTACCTTTTTTTATTTGAACCTTACTATACCTTTTTTTTTCACATACTATACTATGACATTTTTGTCATACTAAAATTTGGTTTTTTTTTTTCAGGCTATAATATGATTTTTTTTTTGTCATACTAAAAAATTTTAAATTTTTATCATGCTAAATTATGACATTTTCTTAAACATACAATAATATGAATTTTTTTGTTCTAAACTGTGAATTTTTTATTATACATTATTATGTCACTTCTATCATACTATACCATGACATTTTCCATTTTAAAATTTGGAATTGTTATCATACTATACTTCAACATTTTTTAATATTCTATAATATGACCTTTTTTTTCATACTCAAAATTGAAAGTTTTATCAGACTCTACGATGACATTTTAATCACACACTCTATCTGACGTTTTTGACAAACTGTACTATGACATTTTTTTATCCTAGAATTTAAAAATTTTATCATAAAATTCTTTGACATTTTCATCATGCTATAGTAGGTCAGTTTTTAACATACGAAACTATGAAAGCTTTATTTTACTAGACTATGTAATTTTTTACATCCTAGAGTATGACATTTTAATCAAACTGTACTGAAATTTTTTTACATACTATACTATTACAATATCATCAAATTAAATTGTGAAATTTTATCGTAGTATACTGTAATTTTTTTAACATACTGTACGATATTTTTTTCAAACTATATTTTAACATTTTTATCATACTATACAATGAAAGTGTTTTAATATACTATACGATGACCTTTTTTTCAAACTAAAATTTGAAATTTTAACAATACTACTATGACAGTTTATCAACATAATATACTGAGACATTTTTCTCAAACTTAAATTTGAAATATTTATCATACTATACCTTGACATTTTTATCATGCTGTTCGATGACAGTTTTTTAACATACTATACTATAACATTATTTTCAAACATAAATTGTGAAATTTTGTCATACTATACTGTGACAGTTTTTTTTTTAAATACCACACTATGACATTTTTTTCAAACTATATTTTAAAATTTTTATCATAGCATGCTTTGATATTTTTCTCATACTTCAAAATATTTCTCATGCTGCACTACAACATTTTTAACATGCTATACTATGACATTTTTTTCCTACTAGAGTATGACATTTTTATCATACTCTACTGACATTTTTTAACATACTATACTATTACAATTTTTTCAAACTAAAGTGTGAAATTTTATCATATTATACTATATCATTTCTTTAACATACTATGCTATGACATTTTTTTTAAACGTAAAATGTGAAATTTTATCCTACTTTACTATGACAGTTTTTTAACATACTATACTACATACTTAGATTCTTAAATTTGACATTTTATCATAGTATACTATGACAATTTTATCATACTATGCTATGACATTTTTCACATACTGAAATCTGAAATATTTAACTTACTCTACTTTGTCATTTTTTATCATGCTGAACTATGAAACTTTTTATCATACTATACCATGACATTTTATCATACTATGCTGGGACATTTTCTCATACCTATTTTCTCATAAATATTTATCACACTATACTATCTCATTTTTCTCATACTATACTATGACATTTAAAAAAAAAAATTTAAATTTTTATCTGACTATACTATGACAGTTTTTAAACTTACTTTACCATGACATTTTTTAGATACTTAAATTTGAAATTTTCATTATACTTTATGACATTTTTATCATATTATACTTTGACATTTTTATCATACTTAAATTTGAAATATGTATTATAGTGTACTATGTCGTTTTTTATCATGCTGCACATTGACATTTTTCAACATACTATACTAGACAGTTTTTTATCATACTATACTATAACATTTCTTTCACACTATGTTTTAAATTTTGTATTATACTATACAATGACAGTTTTTTAACATACTATACTATGACATTTTTTACATACTTGAAATTGATTTTTTTTTATTATATTATATTATGAAATTTTTATCATACTATACTATGACAAGTTTCCTATACTTCAATTCAAAATATTTATCAAACTATACTATGTCATTTTTCATCATGCTGCACGATGAAGTTTTTATCATACTATACTATGTCAATTTTTGATTATGCTGCACTAAGACATTTTATAACATACTATACTTCTACAATTTTTTCAAACTAAGGACTGAAATTAATCATACTATACTATGTCATTTTTTATCATGCTGCACTATAAAAAATTTTAACCTACTTCACTTTGACATGTTTTTCATAATAAAAATTTGAATTTTAAAATGTTTATCATAACTATACTATGACATTTTTATCATTAAGCACTATGACATTTTTAACATACTGCATGACATTTTCTTATTTTAAAATATGAATGTTTTATCATATTTTTACTGACAGTTTTCATCATACCACACCATGCCTTTTTTATTTCAAAATTTGACATTTTCATCATACAATACTATGATTTTTTTTCACACTACACTATAACATTTTTTAACATAATATACTATGACATTTTGTCACACTAAAAGTTTGAAATTTATATCATACTATACTTTGACCTTTTTTTTTTCCTCAAATTTGAACATTTTATTATAGTATTCTGACATGTTTATCATACTTGACCATGATTTTTATTATATTATAATTTGACATTTTATTCAAACTAAAATGTGAAAATTTTATTATGCTATACGATGAAATGTTTATCATAGTGTGCCATGAAATGTTTGTCATGGCACATGACTTCTTCTTAATAGTTAATTTTCTCATACAATACCTAACCAGGATTCGAACCCCTGACCTTCGTGCTGTGAGGCAACAGTGGTAACCATTACACCACCGAACTTCCATTGTCACTGGAGAACTTTTCATCATACGTTCACTCTGATACTTTACTCATAGTTTACCACCACTTTTATCATACTATACTGACATTTTTATCAACCTAAAATGTGATATTTTTTAACATATACTAACATTTGGATTTTTCATCATACTATCTGTAATATTTTTATCATACTATACTATGATATGTGTATCTTACCGCACCATGACTTTACTCATACTAAAATTTTAAAATATACTGGCAATATACTGACATTTTTATCATACTATACAATTATATTTTTATCACACTATACTATGACTTTTCTTTTTCATTCTAAAAATGGGAATTTTTATCCTAATGTACTACAACATTTTTTAACATACTATGTATATATTTATGACTTTTTTTAATACTTGTGATCATATTATACTGTCATTTTTAACATACTATGCTATGACATTTTTTTCAAACTATATTTAAATTTTTTTTCATACTACCACAGTTTTTTAACATACTATACTATGACATTTATTCCAAACCTAAATTGTGAAATTTTATCATACTATACTGTTATTTTTTATTGTGCTGCACTACGACATTTTTTAACATACTATACTTTTTAATTTTTTTAAACTCAAGACTGAAATGTAATCATATTATACTTTGTCATTTTTAACATAGTAAACTATGACATTTTTTTTCATTCTTTAATGTTGCACTTTTATCATATTATGCCATGACACTTTTTAACATACTGTGCTACGACATCAGAAAAAAGGCTCTTTACTCCTGAGTAATATTAATTGTATTATGTCATATTATGTTTATATATTGTGTCTTATCTTATTATCATTGTATTATATAATTATTAAATTGTCTTATATATTTTTTAATTGTTTTTTTTCAGGAGGCAGGTTCTTTTTTAATTATTATCATTATTATTATTTTATATCTTTTACAGGAGGCAGGTTCTAAATGTTTTGGTTTCACCAAAACTTGATTATTATTTTGAAGTTTGGTCAAATATTCTCAGCTAAGGACTTCAAAAACTTACAAGTAGCTCAAAATAAAGCTGCACGTTGTGTTCAGTTGTGTTCTTACAGAACCAGTGTGACCAGCATGTATCATAAATCTATGGTTATCTGTAAGACAAAGGTCTACCTATGCTTTATTAAATTTAGTAAGTATCAGAGAACAGGTAAAATACAGAGAACAGGTATAATACAGAGAACAGGTATAATATAGAGAACATGTATAATATAGAACAGGTATAATACAGAGAACAGGTAAAATATAGAACAGGTATAAGACAGAAAACACTGTTTTACAGCTTAAATTCTCCACCAGTTCTTAATGCTCATTAAAATAATGAATATCAGTTTAAAATGTATTTCAAAAAGTAATTCTTTGCATTTAATGTCTGATGAATTTAATTTTTGGATTGAGTTTTTTATTTTCTTCTGTTGTAAAATAATAAAGATCTTTATTTGTACCCCACACCTTTTACTGTTTTTAGTATAAAATTAGTTCCCAGTTCTGTTTCCGAACCAAAATAATACAATATCATACAAGAGCAACCCTAAAAACATGACAGAGCAATAAAAACACAGGAGCGGTCGGTCTGTTTCTGTCATGAATGTTGTTGAGGACTGGGATTTCTGGGCGCTACCATCTGGAAACCAGCGAAGAAGAAAAGAGGAGAGTCTGATTGGTCCACAGGCTGAGCGTCAGTCATCCTCACAGAGACAGGGTTCAGATCACAGGTGAGATGATCCTCCTCATGGTCTCGTGGAGATGCTGGAGTGAAGGTCCAGGATGGAGAAGAAGAGCCGCCGTCTGTGGCGAGGATGAGGTAATGGTGTTTGTGGAGGAAGAGGAGAAGAAGATGAAGAGTGTCTCCCCTCTGGAGGTTCAGTTTCAGCCGGTTTCTCCGAGTTGTCTCGCTGAGCGTGTCGTGCCACGGGGGGTT